TCTATTCTATTCTATTCTATTCTACATGAGTTGGAGCTAGCTTGAAGGCACCTAGGTACAGACACATCCTAGGTTTTAAAGAGAAGATGGAGATGAGGAGCCAAAATCCAAATGTGCCTTAACAACATTCTCAGATCTCCTAGCTCTCCCTTCCATAGGACATGTCTATGACTATGGTCCCATAGTCAGTGAACTTACCAGCACAGATGTGTCTATGACTATGGTCCCATAGTCAGTGAACTTACCAGCACATATGGGGCACTGTCCACTATCCTGGACATTACTGTTTTGGGTTTGGTGTTTCTGTCTCTCTCCACTGCTTTGGGTTTGGGGTATTTTTCTCTTTCTATTGCACTGAGTTTGGGTTTGGTGCTGTCGTCTCTGCCTTTGGGTTTGGGGTTGATGCTGTCGGGCTGTTCTCCTCTCATTTAGCCGAGAGGTAGATTTAGAAGAAAATCTGTGAGAAAATAAAGATCAGTTATTAACAAGAAGCAGTATCATAAGTTAAGAAGACTCAAAACTCTCATTAAGGCAGCTCTGGTGGCCTTGTGACAAGAAGTTGTGCTACAATCCTGAAGAGACTTGTTTCAAATCCACCAGATACTCTGCTGGAGAAGGAGGGGCAATCTCCTCCTGTGCCAGTTGTACTCAATTCAATGGTACACAACAAGAAAAGAAAACATCGAGTCTGCCATGGAGTCAGAACTAACTCACAGCTGACTCTTCACTGAGTTTCCAAAGCGCAAACTGCACGGGAGGAGACTGTCCAACTTTCTCTCCCAGAGCAGCTGGTGGATTCAAACCACCGAAGAGGTGTAGTCAGTGGGTTAGCAGAGCAATTCTCTATGGACTACACCACCAGAGCTCCCTTAAAAAGACCAATGAGCCTAGATTTAGGCAAAAATATAAGCAGCTGATGTGGAGTCTAAAGTTTTGAGCTGGAGTACTAGTGTCCTCAGTTAATATATTAGACTTGTGGGAATTCATTTAAACTTTGAATATCCAAGGAGAGCTCTAAGGTGCTTAATTTTTAAAATTAGAATATAATTTATAACTGACCAATCGGCAGCATCAGGATGGATGGTGAAGAGATTGAGATTGTACACAGCTTTAGTTTGCTTGGCTCCATAGTCAACAGTCTTGGCACCAGCAGCCAGGAAATTAAAAGGCGCATTGCCATGGGAAAGTCTGCTGTTAGGGACCTCTCCAAAGTGCTGAAGAGCAATGGTGTCTCTCTGGAGACTAAGGTGCGTCTGATACAGGCCATAGTCTTCGCAATCACCTGTTATGCATCAGAGAGTTGGACAATGACCAAGGAGGATAGAAGGAGAACTGATGCCTTTGAGCTGTGGTGTTGGAGAAGAGTACTGAGAATTCCATGGACTGCTAGGAAAACAAATAGATTTGTCCTGGAGAGGGTTAAACCGGGTGGCTCCTTGGAGGCAAGGATTCTGAGGCTCCGTCTAACTTACTTTGGACATGTAGTGAGGAGAGACCGGTCCTTGGAGAGGGACATCATGCTTGGGAGGGTGGAGGGACGGTGCAGGAGAGGAAGGCCCTCTATGAGGTGGATTGATTCAGTGACTGGGATAATTGGGATGGGAGTGTCAGAGACAGTGCGATTGGCACAGGACAGAGCGGAGTTTAGGGCTGTTGTACATAGGGTTGCTATGAGTCACAGGCGACTTGCCGGCACATAACAACAACAACAACAACAGACATGGCGAGAAAACATTATCTTTGTCTTATTATTGATTTTGGGGAAAGTTTTCAGTATTTTACTATTAAGTATGAGGGGTTTTATCATAGCTACTGTCTTTGTAACTCCTAATGAATGAATAGTGGGGTGATGATGGTTGTTTGCTGTCATACTAGGACAGACCCATAGCTGACACTGCAGTGGGTTTTTGCATGGGAGACTATTCATCCTTTTCCTACAGAGCAGCTGGTGAATTCGAACTGCGTGCCTTTGGGATTGTAGTGCAGCTTCTTATCACTATGTTCCCAGAGCTCCCTATAAATGAATGATGGGACTATGCAAATATGAGATGCTGTGGCCCATCAAGTGGTGGGGGACAGTTTGCTAATATTAGAAATCAAGCACATGGCACCCTATTAGTGTGGGACAGGACAATGTGAATAAGGTGTAAGGAACGGTAATGTGATGACTGGTCAATTTTTGCCACTCCATTAGGCTTAAAGTAAGTCATCCCAGAGGTGTATAAAGGGAGATCTCACTACCACTGAGAAAGAATAACCATGAATAGACTATGTCCTTTGAACTCAGGATTCCTGCACCACAAATATCCTTGATCCAGGAGACCGAGAGCTTTGATATCACAAACGGCAAGAAAAATGGCAGCAGAACCAAGAGACACGCATGAGTCAGAGCAGGGGGCTTCCCAGCCTATGGAGTGAGTGCCTTTAGATAGGAGTAGGGGTGCTTGGGATACCTGCCAAGAGAGCTAGGTTTGTTGGCTAATCTAGAGTTGAGGACTTCAGAAGGGGACTCATTGGCAGAGTGGGGTAATTCTAGGTACATAATTGGTAGAATTAAAAGAGCTTTGTAACTATCAGCACAGCAAAAAGTGCTTTTTAACATTCACCCAAGCAGGACAGAGACAGGGATGAGGGGTCGAGGGTCAGAGAAAGGTCTTATCTGCTGGGCATGGCTGAGAAGAGTGGTCCTGACCAAAGAACTGTAACCTTAGTCAGTCCTGAACTTGAATTGTAACTGACCAAAGAACTGTAACCTTAGTCAGTCCTGAACTTGAATTGTAACTGACCAAAGAACTGTAACCTTAGTCAGTCCTGAACTTGAATTGTAATGTTTATTTCTCTAATGAAGATTCAGATTAAGATACAATGAGATACAAAGTACTTATCTTCAGATTCTGGCTATCTCCCTGCCCAGTGCCCAACCTAACAACCTATAGCTATAAGACGGTGTCTTTTCTCCATTACTCTCTAGGTCCAGACCAAGAGCTCAAGATTTAGATGCAGTAATATAACTTAAGATGCTCTGACATAAAAAAATCCGGTGTGGGGATGACGGTCAGTTGCACGCGGGCAATATGGTTTGAAGTGATCTGAGTCTTTAAGGTGGCCCGACTTACCTTCGGGCCTGTGTCTTCTGTTTCTTCATCCTGCCCATGTCATTCTCTGAATCTTGCTCCTCTGATCTGGGGTCTGTTGGAAATGCTCATCAAATTTAGCGGATTAATAAAAAGTCTTTACATATTCCATTCTTTCTGCTAGGAATACAAGTTCTATCCTCTCGTGGGATTAATACTTTCTTGCTCTTCAAGCCTTAGATATAACATGCTAATTCTTATTAGGATTTTCTTGGATGTTCTAATCAAAATCTAGTCATTTTACTTACTTTTCTTTGAACACACTAACTACAGTTTTTTTTTCTTCCCACAGTTTTAAATCCTAGATTTTTGTGTAATATGGACACCTGTTTCCTTGTTAAGATTAAGGATACTGTTATTTTAATACATCCTACACACATGGCACTTAAGAAATGTTCAGCAACTGCTAAATGAGTTATAACAAAACTCAGCAAAAACTACTTGTTTATAATTATTCAGAATTTACAAAATACACTGTAGGGCATTTAGTGATTTTGAAAGCCCTTTCATAATGCCACTGTACAGCCCTTATCAGGTGTCTCCAAAAAGGTTAGTTCCCTTCAATTTTTCTCTTAAAATAATAAACTTATTTTTCCATGTGGTAGACAGCTTCTGAAGTCAGAGTCCTACTTCCTGATAAACTTTGCTCTTGGGTGTGGCATGATTCTAGTAGTTTCCTTTCAATGAACGAAAATGGCAAAATTCATAGATGTCACTTCTGTGATGAAGTCGCAAAAGCTGTGACTTCTGTCCTGCCAGTATTGTCTGGCTTGCTTGCATTCTGTCTTGCCCTCTTGCCTACTCACTCTGATGGAGTGAGGTGCAACCCTGTAAGATGCTCTAGCGAAAGGCTCTCACGTTAAAGGAACTGAGGAAAGTTTCAGTTCAAGTCCACAAGGAATAGAATCTTACTGTGAACTCTGTGAGCCAGGAAGCAGATCCTCCCAAGTTGAGTCTTGAGAGACACCTGGAGCCAGTACTCAGCTCAGCTGTGCCTATGTCCTTAAACCCTAGAAACTGATAAATTCTGGGTTTAATTTGTTACATAGCAGGAAACAGCCAATACACCCTACCTATTTCTTAAAAATATATTCAGATATTACTAATTATAGTCTAAATAAACTAAATATACTCATTATATTACTAATTTTGAAATTATAGATAAAATCACTTCTTAAATTTTTTTCAATGAAACAAGAGATCATCCTGTTGTCTTAGTTTTTCAGTAAGAACCCTACATCTTTTCTCCCTCTTGCTAAATGGAGCAGTAGAGATTTAGAACTCATCTCAGCTGTGCTCATTATAAGCTGTTTGATTCAGAATATTTAACTTCCTGAATCTCAGAATCTTCTGTAAAGTAAGAACAACATACTTCATAACATTGTTGTAAACATTAAAACAAAAGAAGTTAGTAACAATGCCTAGTAATAATATCTTATGCAAAGTAGGACTGCAAAATATTTTATATATTCTTTCTTCCTCTGTGATAAACCACTCTATGCTACTACCTTATTTTTTTAGTAAGCCACCACCTTGAGTTCCTTACCCTTATAGGATGATCACAAACCATTAATACAGAAAGACTGCTTAGATACTATTTGTATAAGTCCTTCACTTACAAAATAAAGGAATTAAAGCTCCAAAAGAGAAAGATTTCTGATTCCTACACAATATTTGGTTCTTTGGATGGAGACACTAACAATCCTGTTATTTACATATGAACTCTCAATTGTCAGCTATTCCTTTCTCAGAAGCGATGGATTCATGGTGGATGGAAGCTGCTAAGGAGAGTATGGAGCCAAAGGTAGGTAGGTTATAGACCTCACCTGAGCAATCTGGATGACTCTGACTTGGTTCTGTGTGGTTATTTCCTGGGTTTTCCACAGGAGTTAGGGGTGTCCTGGAGACAGCTGAAAGGACCATGCAGGCTGACCGTCCCAGAGGCCCTGGCTGTAGCTGCTTTAGCATGTTCTTGAGCTCTGAAATTTCCTTGGTGCTCCTGCAGGAAAACAGTGCTTGGCTTAACTCAGAACAGAGGCCTCACCTGTTCACTATTGTCAGTTCTATCAAAAAACAGTAACAACACAACAATAAGATGTCAGACTGATCTAAAGGTGAGCCTATAGGCTTAGAATACAGTCAACCCACTGTACCGGACATTCTCCATCCCAGTGTGTTTAACCAGATTCAGATGGACAATACTGGTAGGTGAGGAGGAGCAATTAAGTAATCAAAACAATCTCTCAGAGGCTGAGGGAGCTTAAGGTACTATTTACATTATATTAGGTATTACAGCTTTCATGGCCTAGTGGTAAGGAGGTACGCTGCCAACTCAAAGGTAAGCAGTCTAAGTCCACTAGCAGCTTTTTGGGAGAAAGATAGATGGACAATCTCCTCCTGTGTGATTCTCTGCCTCCAAAAACCTGGAAGGTTAGCTATGAGTCAGTTCCAACTTGACAGTACTTAACAACATTTCTTATAAGTACAGTTAAACTTTAAGCCATGAGTAGAGGAGGCATTTAAGGGAAAACAACCTCCTTTGAAGCTGAAAATCTGCATGTTAGTTACAGTTGATCCCTGATCAGTTTGAGAGGGAATTTTACCAGAGTTGTTGCCTACATTTCATATATATGGACATCTGGCAAAGGGTGCCTGTTTTTGTTGAATCTGGATACTGTATCACCTGTGGTTCTCTGGACTTGACCTGAAGGCTGCTTCATTTGCTGATCTCGGATTGTTCAGTCTCTACTGCTGCGTGAATGAGAAGCCTCTCTCCTGAGGTTTGACCCATGGACTGCGACTTGCTCAAGACAATAGGAACAGGGGGCTAAAAATTCTCATGTAAGTGGGCTGGGAAGTTCAAATCCACATTGTCCAAGGGTCAACTATAGTGTAGCAATGATTTAAAGTAACTGGGAGGTTACATGCAAAAATTATGCCACATTATATCTGAGACTTGAGCATCAACGGGTTTTGGTAGTCCCTGTGATTAACGTAGCTGTGAACCTATGAAGAATTTGGTAGTATTTTTCTTTCAAGGCAAAAATACCACCTGTGAAGTAGCTGGGAGAATTCTACTCTGACAGCTACTTACTTCTTAGGATCTGGGAAGAATGTCCTCCGGATGGAAGGATTAGACAGCCAGGGGCTGGGGCCAGACTCCTGAGCATCAGAAGATCCCTGAAAAGAAAATGGAGAAATATAAAATACAGATCTTAAACCATTAGAGAACACTGCCACCTAGTGACAACATCTACTTCTAGACCCGAGAACTAGAGAATGTATGAGCAAACCCCTTACTTGCTTGTCTGCTTGAGAGAGCACATACGTGAGTTTTCCAGCTCTGAGGATCAAAGTTTCTGTAATTTCTGTGTATACATTTCCCCGGTGTTAAGAGCTTTTTCATCTTCCTGAAAGCTCCCAGAGTTAGAGGGTAAACACTGTTGGGAAAAACTGTACGGGGACAGTTGCGTGAACTTTTAAAAGAATATGTATGTGGATGGGGGTGGAACTCAATTCTCTGCACATTTTCACAAGAAAAACACCACATGTATATTTCCATGTACAAACAATGCTATTTGAGAATGCTATTTTCATCATTTCCTTCTAAATATCACTTAATCATATTGCTTAATTTATGGTTTATTTGTGAATAACTTTCTCACCTATAATTAAAAACCTACCATTTTTCAGCCATTGTTTCTAGCCATCTATAAAAAGAGACGTGCATGTATGTAAATAGATAATCACATGTGGTTTTGGAGCTTTACCCAATTGACCTATCACAGGCATCTATAAACCTTAACTGTTGATCCAGAAGTATCTGTGTGACAATCTCTTAACAGGTAATTTCTACACAAATTTTATATAAATGGTACGCTATTGTTCCTTAGTTCTTTGTAAAAATCTGTGACTATTCCTTTTTTCAGTATTTTCAAATTTTCTCTTTTTAAAATCTCTATATTTAAAACTGACTTTAACAGTTTTCTTTAATTTTCAGCTCTGATTCTTCTATCACAGATTTTTATTTATTTATTTTTTTTAATGTGTGTACCATTAAATCAGATCTGACTGGTACAGGAGGAGATTGTCCCTCCTTCAGCAGAGCATCAGGTGGATCTGCACCACACACCTCTGTGGTTGCAGTACAACTTCTTGCCACTAGGCCACCAGAGCTCATCCACAGATTTTTTTTTTTAAGTGTTAAACACAGCTTGCTAAGCATGACTTTGGCCTTCTATAATTTTTAATATTTTAATGAAAGTTTACAGAAAACTTGAATTTCTAATCATTCCTTGTTGCACATTTTCCTCCCTACCGCCCCCCCCCCCCAGTTTGCTTTTCTCTTTAAAAAGATTCATTGGGGGGAGGGACTGTATAACAATGAAAGAATTTTACTTTTCAAAGAGAAGAGCGAACTGGGGAGGAGGGGTAGGCAGGGAGAAAAGTGCAACAATGAATGAATGGAAATTTAAAGTCTCTGTAAATTTTCATTAAAACTGATAATAAAGGGGAAAAAATTCATTCATTGTTGCACAATTTCCTCCCACATTCCCAACCCCTAGTCCACTGTGCTTGCTATGCATCTCTTATTCTGGACTGTTGTCATGCAAATAATACCTAATCATATATTTCATTTAGACATTTCTTTCTCTCATCTATTTAAATGCAGTGTTCATTATTTATCCCTTTTTCCCTTAGTTTCCCCCAATCCCATGTCAGTCCTGTTTTCTAACAGTGTCATTATGCAGTCCTTTTGTGACTGAGATATTTCACTCAGCATGTCTTCCAGGGTCACCCATTTTCTAAGGTCCTTATTTTTCCAGTGCTGTGTAATATTTCATTGTGTGAATATACCACAGCTTCTCTATCCATTCATTTGTTGATGGGAGCCTTCTACAATTTTGATAAGCAGTACCTTCATTCTCATTCTGTTAGGTGTTTTCTAACTGCCATTACAATCTCCTCTTGGACCTAACATCCATTTTGGAATGTTTTGCTTAATTCTCCAGAGTTTTAAGTTTTCACTATCTTGTGTCATAACTTCTAGAATGAATATTACCAGAAAGGGTAACCAGATAGGTATATGTGGTGTACCACTGAGTCAGAATCAAATCAGAGTTGACCATCTAGTGGGTTTTCAGAGGCAATAAATTGCATAGGAGGAGACTGTGTCCATTTTTCTCCCATAGACGAGCTGGTGGATTCAAATTGTGTACCTATGGGTTGGCAGTGCAACTCCTTACCACTGAACTACCAGAGTTTAGATATGGTTTATTTAACTCTAAATGAGATTAATCATTAGAAAATAAGTTTCACAATACAGCCTAGCTGGAGTAGGACATCCTGGGTTCAAATCTAGTTCCAAGATTTATTTAGCAGTATGATCTGGGAGAAGAATCGCCGTTGGTGCAGAGATTTGTTTTTAAAAATTTCATTAATTGTTACACATTCTCCTGCCTTACCCTCCTTCAGTACACTTTGCAATGCACCTCTTGCTCCAGATTGCTGTCACTGGTGCAGAGGTTAAATCTTTCTGCTGCTGACTGAATCCACAATCTGCTCTTTGAGAGAAAGATGTAGCTGTCTGCTTCTTTCAGGATTTACAGGCTTAAGATCCCTAATGGGTAGTTATACACTATCCTATTGTTTAGAGGGAGCTCTGGTGATTTAGTCCACAGGGAAGTGCTCCACTAATCCAAACATGGTTCCTCTCTGGCGACTTGAATCTACAAGCAGCTCTGAGGGAGAAAGGGGCAATTATGAGTCAGTTTTGACTTGGATTTGAGTGAGATTCCATTCTACAGGCTTGTTATGAGTTGGAATAGATTTGATGGCTGTAGGTAGCTGACCTGGGATTCCTCACTAAATTTTTCTGTCCATTCATTTCCTTACTGGGAAATCAGTGATCATAAAAGCTTCATTTCACAGGGTCAAACCAAAAAGCAAAATTAAACAAACAAACAAACAAACAATAAAACTAAACCAGCAGCTGCTGAGTCAGCTCTGACTCATGTCAAGCCCACCCAGAAATTCTTCAGAAGAAAGGCCTGGTGTCTGCATCAGAAAGTTCACAGCCATGAATACCCTATCACGGACAGGACTACTTTGAGTTAGGAGGAATCACAATGCTCAGGGTAAACAGTTCTACATTCTGCTCTCACTATATTATAGCAGTTACATGGTACATTATATTAATACTGCTCAGTGCTTTTCTCCCTTCCTCCAGGACACTACTACAGTCCTAGACGTGCAGATTAATTTAGATGGTCAAAATTGAAAAGACTCTAGAAGTCCTAATTTATCTGAAAAATATGGTGACTTTATGTTATAATAAAATAATTAGCTTGTGTCTTCTCCATGTTTCTCTTCTGTTCCATCCCCTCTTTCTTTCTCTGGCCTCCCAGGGATTTTTTTTCCCATAATTGTCTTACATATTGAAAATCTTGACTATGACTTGATAGTAATGACAATATAAAATGATGACAATGTATATGTTAGTTTGCTTAGGACTGCCCTACCTATTATGTCTACTCTATTAGTATATAAACTACCAAAACCTTTGCTCTCACAATGCTTTTGTTTAGATGATAAAGTATATAGTAACTCTATCTACAACTTCATTATATGGTTCATTCACATTTTCTATGTATGAGAAATGGAAGATGTTCACTACTTCGTGTAAAAGGGTAGCAAGCCCTTTGTGCTTATATTTGAATATGTGTATATGGTGACATGTCTATTCCTCAATCAGGCAACAGCTTCTGAATCAGAAACCTGAAAGGAGCAAGAGACCATTAGATCCTTGCTCTACAATCTTACATACCTGACTCTGCCTAGAGCTCACAGGGGCTGAGATGCCTATCAAGGGATCATCTAAGGAGTCCAAAGAGGAACGAATCCTCAGAAATGCCAGGCCAAAGGACTCATGTCTTGTAAAGGGTTGGGAGCAGGTGAGGCGAAGTCGATCCCAAGATTCACCTGAGGCTGGTGCCATGAAATCACCTAAGAATAATGAGGAAAAAAAAGAAATGAATAAATGAAAGAAGTCAGTCAGTACTGAGGAGAAGAAAGAAGACAGGGCTATACGAAGTGAATTCCAACAAAAGGGAGACTGGAGATCATTGGTAACTGACCTCCTCAGGCCTTGGTGATCAAGGCTTAGAGAGCCATGTAGTCTACTCAGGGTCTCTTAGACCCAATCTTTTGTCTTCTCACCATTACTCCTCTCTCTTAGAGTTCTACAATGTTCTCTGCATCATGTGGCTCTATAGAGACCTCATCAATATCTCATCTTAGTAGGAGGTATCTATAAGATTAGGGTCTGGGATGACCACTTGACCAATGAATTAGTTGACTATTTGATATAAAGCTTCCTTATACCATGACATGCCCCACACACTCATAGCATCCCATCACAAATATCACAAGCTCTTCACAAATGCCATTCCCAACACTAGCCTCATCTTTCCAATTCATGTACCCGAAATTCCTCCTCCTCCACACATTAAAAGCACCTCCAAGTTACACACATACAAGCCCTCACTAAAATGTAACTTCCTCTGGACCAAGAATCAGACCTTATGGTTCTTCTGCAGTGCCAAATGAATTGAGAGAAAAGGAGAGAATTCAGGAAACATATGCTACATGTCTATTATCATCAAACAGCTCTCCAATGCATATAGAAACACTTACCTCATATCCTTACTGATACAACTACATGAACAAAAACATACTAGTAGATATATAAGTTCTACATCAGGTTCCAATGAATCTCATGTTATTCATAAATAAAACAACAGCCCATACATAGAGCTAGCTACCAGATATTCTTACCATGCAATACTTATACCATATCTCGTACTGTCCAGCACACGTGTGCATGTGTTCACACAACCTCTCTCCCCCCATTCCCACCTTTCTGCTTCATTCTTTTCTGCCTTTACCATCTTTAAACATGCGGACCCCTGAGCGGTTCATCCCCTGCTTTGAATCAGCTCGGGACATCAGCATGGTTGCAGGGAGCAGGGTGATGAAAGGTTTGTCCAGGGACCAGGAAGAACGGCCTACATCAATTTGCAGGAAAGCACAGCCACAATTACCTAGGAAAAGAAAAGGTAAGCGAAGGATAAATGTGATGAGATGTCAAGGGCCCTTCAGACAGTAGATAATATATTTGGGTGGGGAAAAGGATAGTCCAGAACTCACAGGAAGTCCAGAAAGGTCAAGCAATGTGTGAAGTCCCACAGGGTACCCAGTACCCGATTTGGATGAAAACTCAGCCCATTAAATGGTCATGTGACAGTCTGTTTCCTAGATATACTCCTAAGCAGAAAACTTAGCCTTGCCTCTGCCCTATCCTGACCCTGGCAAACAGAATTGAATGCTGTCTCTATTCAATCTTTGCCAAGGAGGCTCATGATTCAGAGTTGGTCTATAAAGAGCAGGGACAAATGGTCTTTGAAGTCTTCTTCTATTTGAGCATACTAGGGTCAATCATCTTAGTCTATAAACTCCCATTTCCTCCATTAAATTTTCACGGATTAACCCTGTAGTTAAACTTTCCAGCATCTTGATTGCATCACCCAGATCACTGAGACCAAAGCAAGGCAAGTCCTTTAGTTGCAAAATTCAAAAAGTGCCATTCACATTGTAGTCTACAATTCCTAAAGTTTTGCCACCAATCTTAAGGTCTGGGACCATCTCTCCTTCACTTCCATGTAGGCCTTAGCTCATCAAGGCTGCTCAGATAGACTTAACTAAGACATTCCAGTTGAGGGGTTGGTGAAGGGAAGGATTATAATTCGTGTGTCTTTTCTCAGAGGTTTCCAGGTTGCAGAGAACTTACTTACCAACATCAATGTAGCCAATGGGCACTGCTCTCTCGAGTTGCAGTTCAACTTTCAGTTGCCCACTTTTGTCCTGAGGACAGCTGAGCCAAGGTCCCCTCTGATTATCTGGATTTAGTAGGTTCTCCACAGGATACTTTGGATCCTAAATTGGAGGGAGGAGGAGAAAATCAGGAATCTTACTGAGTTCAAGGGACAAAGAAGACACCTGTGAATCAAGAGCCCATATTCTCTCAAACCTTTCCCAACTTCCAGACATGATGGGAAGGCACTTGTTAGGAGTTTATAGGAATATATCATTTGGTAAGTGGTTTATAAACATCTTATTTAATTCTAACAACTCTTGAGGTAGTCATTATTATTACCTTCTACTTAATAGATGGAGTTCTGATAGCCTAGTGATAAGAAGTTTCACTGCGATCAATCCCAAAGGCACGTGGTTCAAATCCACCAGCTGGTCCGTGGGCAATCTCCTGTGCAATTTACTACTTCTGAAAACCTGTTGGACCCTGGATGAGATGTGTCTGTGACAATGGGGGCAGGTGTATCAGAGTTTGGTTCTGGAAAGAGCAAAGTTCAGAACTAAAGCTTATAGATTTTTTGACTTGGTAGTCACTTGAGGGCACATAATAACAGCAATTAACAGATGAACACCCTGAAGCTTAACGAGGTTCACTAATTTATCCAAGATCTCGGACTTAATGCTATTGAGTTGAATTGGCTCATAGCTGACCCTTCACTGGGTTTCTGAGGCTGTAAGTCTCATGAGAGAATACTGTCCATCTCTCTCCCTCAGTGATGCTGACAAGAGTTGAACCAAAGAGTGGCCTTTAGGTTAACAGCTCATTTCCCTAAGGTCTAGGACACCAGAGCAACTCTTGCCAAGAGCCCAAGGCCAAATCATCAAACCAATCAAGATTCTGATACAGGGGCTTTTTTTTTTTTGATAAAGGGTTTTGAATCCAGAGTTCTCAACTACCATTCTATTCTACTGCTATTCTTCATATAAAATGGTTCCAGAAATTTATCTTGAAAATAACTCAATGAGGCAAAAGGGTAGAAAGCTTCACTCTAAAATTTTAAAACTAAGGCACAGAAATAGTGACTTGTTCAGTTAACAACAGTGGTCAGAGAAAAAGTTTTGAGTTCTAATCCAAGTCCCTTTTTTAATGGAAATCTTACTTTGAATATGTATGTATGTATGTGTGCATATATACACACAAATACTTTAAACAAATAAAAAGCAGCTCTCTGGTTAAAACACAGGCGGAGGAAGGGCTAGAGACATACTTCTAGAAGTGAGTTCCCACACAGTTTGAAAGGCACTGTTAGAAGACATTCAATGTTTTTCAGCATTTTTTAAGGGCTAAGAATCTAAGAAGAAAATAATTTAAGCAGAATATGCAGTTAAGGATAAGAATTTTTTAATTTTATGGAGAAGTGAAGTTGTTAGTCAGGTGCCTTCAGGGTGGTTTTGATTCAGTGAAGCTACATATAGAACAAAATGCTTGCACCATCCTTACAAGCACTTCTGTTTAAGCCCACTGTTGGAGCCATTTCATCAAGCCTTCTTGTTGAGGGTCTTCCTGTTTTTTACTAACTTTCTACCTCCCCAAACATGATGTCCTTTGACCACAACTGATCACTCCCGGTAACATACTCAAAGTATGTGATGAGAAGCCTTACTGTGATTCTACAAAGCATTTTGGTGGCACTTCTTCCAAGGCAGGTTTCTTTGTTCTTGTGGCAGTTCATGGCCTTTTCAATATTCCTCACCACACAATAATTTAAAAACATTGATTCTGCTTTGGTCTTCCTTCATCATTGCCCAGTTTTACATGTGTACATTCAACTGAAAATACCACGGGTTAGGTCTGATTAACCTTAGTCCTCAAAATTGCATGCCTGTTCTTTGGCTCTTATAAAAAGATCTTTTCCTACTTGGGAATAAATTTAACCAGAAGTACAAAGGACCTTTTCCAAGAAAATTACAAAACATTACTACAAGAAACAAAAAGAGATCTTGA